TGCTGTGCACAACAATCTCAAGGAAAACGAAAGAGGCGTTAGCCAATCAAAACATGACGCGACCCGCAGTAAAGGCTGACTGGCAGGAGTGACAAGGTAATATCGATTTTTAGTCATGTTTAAATTTTAACTGTTTTGCACTCTTCCTTCACGTCGTAAGGCCATTTTGGGAACCAAAGTCGACAAGTTACGGAAAAAGTTCTGTTATCTTTCCGAAAGTACTTATATCCTGCGAAATATATACATACATACCCAGACACCGCGTAGTCTTTTAAGCGATTGTCTTTCTTCTAATGTCCTATGTGTTTTCCGGCATGGTCATTTCTCTTCTAAAAGCTACCTTTCGGCTTTAGATGAACAGTCTCATGACCCGCCTTCAGTTAAGCGAAAGAGTTTGTACTGCCTGCATCGGTTTACGTTCTGCAGGTCCCGTTTCGTGGTGCTGTTCCAATCTGGCCTGTGCCAACCGTGATCGTCGGTGTCAGTTAATCCGAGATATGGGTCGCGTCACGTCACGGTTTCCCACTGACTTCCCGAGTTTCGAGACCTTTAGCTCCTGGTCGCCCCTACCACCCTGACCTTCCTAACATTTAACAATTATTCTACTCAATTGCATTTCCCACAGTCTTCCAATTATGTCTTTCATTCCCTCTTTGTTATGTATCAGTGGTGTGATTTCATATGCATCTAATTAGTGCATTTGTACAGTGCAATTTTGCATGACGTTATTTCGCACTCTGTAAAACCGCGGTTGTAACCGGCTTCTGTCTGGCTTCCGCATTGGTGTTCTTTTTGACTTCTAACAGTTTTAGTTCCTTGATCTAAATGTGTTGAATGTTTCATTTGTTTGTCTAGTCAGCGTTTACTCCCTTTGCATGATGATGAACTTTTCCGCTTATAGATTCCACGTGGAAATTTCAATATAACTGTTTGGCCTGTGTAACCACTCGTGACAGTCAACCATTTCTGTTAGCTCCAGGTTGCCCTTACAGTTTAGACTCGATGAGGACTCCATCGTTAAGTGTCCCTATGCTAAATTGCAACTATCTTACCAAAGCTCGGATGACAGTAATCTTTTCAGCTTAGTGTCGCATTGCTTGCCTTTCTGACTTCCGGACACCTACAGTGCGTGACCTATCTCATGAAATGTTGGCTGAAATTCTGAAATGCGTTTTCGATTAGAAAGGATTACTTGGTCGCGGTTGTGATACTGATTATCTTAAGGCATACTCTTATAACATTTTAGACTCGGCAGGATGTCGGCTTTAAAATGCACTTCTTTTCAATCTCCTGTAGAAATCGTGCTCGGTAAAAAATGATTACTTAAGTAGCATGCATTTTTCCCATCGATTTTCGATGGTCTTGCAAATTCAAATATATTTTATAGAAACCACAAACAAAAATATGATTTCTTTTATTCAATCAATAGATAATCACGTCTTTTTATATTTTATACTTAAGAAAGGAGTATAATTGGGTTTTAAAAAAGTTTCTAATTATGAGTCTTTTTAAGACCGCGATATGTCCATTCACATAGCATCGTACCTGGCCGTTTACCATTGCTCCTCATGAAATGTATAACATGGTCCGCATCCATTGCAAAATTTTATGGACCCTGTATAACATCTTTTTAATGACATAGAAAAATATGGGATTTTCTTTACGCGGAACGCATGAATCTTGTAGAATGTAATCACTAAGCGCTAATGCAACGAATGACCAGGCTCCAAATTTTTCGGCAATTAGAAAACTTTTTTGAAACCTAATTGTACTCCTTCCTTAAGTATAAAATGTAAAGAGGACGTGATTATCTATTGATTGACTAATAGAAAGCATATTGTTGTTTGTGGTTTCTATAAAATATATTTGAATTTCCAAGACCATCGAAAATCAATGGGAAAAATGCATGCTACTTATGTAGTCATTTTTTACCGAGCACGCTTCCTACAGGAGATTGAAAAAGAAGTGCATTTTAAAGCCGACATCCTGCCGAGTCCAAAATGTTATAAGAGTATGCCTTATGATAATCAATATCACAACCGCGACCAAGTAATCCTTCCTAATCGAAAACGTATTTCAGAATTTCAGCCAACATTTCATGAGATAGGTCACGCACTGTACCTATGTGTCCCTTGTTTACCGTTTGACGTCATTTGTGCCAGTAAGTGCCAGTACTCGGGTTTGGTAGTGTAGAATTCTTGGTGAATTGAGTCACGCGTATAAACCAAAACAGATTTCGGTGTATATATGGTTGTTGGGAGTGCCTACACCCAAAACAAGAGCCAACCAATCCCTGAAGATCACGTGCGTTCGTTCTCTCTACAGCGCTGTCATCTCAATCAGGCGCCCTCCCATTGGCTACTCCCCTCTTCCCGAAGGTAATTGGGACGAATGCCGACGAACCACAGTAGCGTGTTATAAATATGCGTCACCTTTAGCTAGTCGCGACTTGCAGTGCTTTGCTAATACACTTTCCGTGGCCAGCCGTGTTTTCTTTGTCTGTTGCTTTGGTATCGTGGACCAGGGTCGAGCGCATATACGTTCCACGGGATTTCACGTACCAGGCGGGTCATAACAACGGTACTATTGATAGAATAAGGTAATAATAAAAAAACGTAAAACCCTCAACAATGGATACCCTAGACAATGAATTCCTTTGTTACTGTCCGGGCCAGTCAAATTCCCAGCTCAAGGTTAGAATACAAAAGTAGTTAAATAAAAGAACGTCGATCACGCTCGAAAGAGGGTTACAAAAAGGGGGAAGGGAATGTCAGCAGGGGCCAAATGTGGAAGCACTTGCGAGGAGGGCGTGGAGAATTCCAAGCGCTGACCAGCTGGATACAAGTAGTCTTAAATTAAGAGTCAGCAAATAGTTTGCATTAACACGAGTGCGGCTGGAGTAATCATAACGACCGTGCAAAGGACGGAGCATCGTAAACTGTGCATCTTGACGACAAGGGAGACCGCACGTATGCTGTAAGTTAGTCAGAACTACTGAGACCATTTTAGGACTCTAGAGAATCGTAACGGGGGGGGGGTACGTTTCTTTCTAGACCTCTGCCGATTGTATCACATACGACAGCTACAGTGTATTGATAGGCGATACCCGAATAGATTTTGGTTTTTTGAATTCGTAAAACCTTGAAATTGTATTCACTATTGCTAGAAAGACCGCATGGGGTCTGTATAACTTCGGCGCCAAAGACCGTTAGCTTAGTGGCCAGCATACTTTTAGATAAGAGCGGAACAGTTATTTGCCGTTTAGTCACATCAACACTGGCAATTCATTTACAGTGCGTGACCGATCTCATGAAATGTTGGCCAGAACTCTGAAATGCGTTTCCGACTAGGAAGGATTACTTGGCGGATTTGTAATATTGATTATCATGCGGCATAAGCCTATAACATTTCCGACTCTTTAAGATGTCGGCTTTTGAATAAACTTCTTTTCGACCTCCTGTAGAAACCGCGTCGGTAAGGAATGACTACTGAAGTAGGTTGCATTGGTTGGATACCAGTGTCGCAAGACTCCGTTACTGATGCTAGTCTTATTGCAGTTAGTTACCCATACTGTAAGC